AGGAACTGAAAAAAAAAGCTTGTTCAAGAGTGATTTTGAGAATCACACTATGGGGGGGGGGGGGCCGCAACAATTCACAGCCCATCTCCTTTTGTTGAATCCTGCCATGTAGACCAGGCTGCTAACATCATAAAATCTCATGCATACTATCATGCACAACCCGTCTGTCTCTCTGCAAAAGGCTCCAGTTATTCAACCATGACACAACAACAAGGCAACAATTATCAACAAACAAAACTATACCGGAATAAACAGGAAGTGGGGCACATTTCGTTGGTTCGGTACATGGCCTTTCCTGGACGAAGCTAAAATGCAGGCGCCCGTTAACAACAACCTAGAGCATATTTTTTTTTTTTTTTTTGTTTATCTTTCTCAATTATGGTAGGCAATAACAGAGAGAAGGCGCCAGAACACAGACATCCTGCAAATAAGTGCTCATCTCAACGCTGCAAATGCACAACATCATTCAATATTATGCGGAAAGAACACCTTTTAAAATCAACACTAAAATATGCTTACAATAATGTGATTGATTATTTCCCATGTATAATTAAGCACATCAGAAACAATACTCACTTCCATGGATGGCATCATGAGCTGCTAAAAGTCATCATATTTTGACAATCTGCAACCGCTAAGTTAAGAAATACCTATGAATGTTCTCTCAGTCACAGACAGCTTGTTGTGGGGTGTGTGTGTGTGTGTGTGTGGTGTAGTGTGGTGTGTGTGTGTGTGTGTGTTGTGTGTGAGTGTGTGGTGTGTGTGTGTGGTTCGGTGTCTGCGGGTGTTAGGGGCTGCAGCGTTCTGGGGAAATCGAAAGCAGAATGTAGATGAATTCGATTCGCGAATATTGTGTTAAGCGACCGAGCGACAGTTCATTGTAAATGGCGCATATCTCTCGGCTAGGAAGGTCGTATCCAACGTGGCCCGCTCTAGCACCGCCCGCAGGAGCCCGACTACAAAGTGAAGATAACTAAACCACATAAACTTCCGGTTGGGTGCTTTAAAGTCCAACTTTCAGTTAGAGATCCACCCTGTAACTACGATTTAAACATGTGATGGAGCATTATAACCTTGACTCAGATGGTTTGTTTCACCAACCAATCAAAGAAGAGCTCCATTGAAGCCATTTGAAAGCAGGCACTTTCAAAAATACCTTGCAAAGGTGATTGGATCAACCGTCTACACCTTATGACATCGGGCCTCGACTTCTGATGGTTAACAAACGGGGGGGCTGGTACAGTGAAGCCAGCACTTCTGATTGGTGCTGGGATACTCGAGCACACAAGAAGAAAACATTTAAAAAAAAAATAGAAGTTAAAGGTGGACCCTGCATGGCTATATTGGCATGACACATATATTTAGGAGCCATACATATAACCAAACATGTCTGTGAATTTTTTTTTTCAAAATACGCAACAGATCAGTGGTTACCATGCCGTCATTTCGCTCATTTGCTGCTTCCAGGGGACCCTGTTTTTGCAAAGGGGCGATATGTGAGCGCAGCGAGCACGGCCCGCCGCTGCAGGAGAGGGGGGAGCGGGCTTGAGACGAGCTGCTGGCGTCAGAAGAGGAGAAAAAGAGATCTCCGTTCCCTCCGTGTTTTATTCTTATATATGACATTATATAGGACTCATTATTCATTTGTAACTCATAAAAACAAAGACAGACCCTTGAGCGGCACTTTCTAAATTGTCCGGAAATTAACACTTAACGGACATTTGAGACCATGCGAAAAAAACAAAATCTAAAACGAAAAAAACCTCTCCCGCCACGTCCCCCCCATCGTCTCTGGAAAGAGGCGAGAAGGGGGTGTTGTCATCTGCGGTGGACCAACCGGAGAAGAATAGCAGGCGCTTGCCTCGACCGGGGAGGGAATTGCTTGAATTTACAGCACAGAGGCCCCGCAACGCCTGCCTCCGGGAGGGAGAAAAGCCCACAAGCGGGAGAATACAACAGAAGGGGCAACCATGGCATAAACCATGCACGGAAAGTCTCCATCGCATGCCTTTTGTGGCGCTGTAGTCTGGCCCACAAAAGGCAGGCCGATGAAAGGACTTTCCCGTGCATGGTGGGCCATGGTTCGCCTCGTTTATCTCCGCGCTGTGCCTTTTCTCCTCCGCCGAGGCAAGGCGTTGGCGCCTCCTGCTGCTGTAAGTCANGGCAATGGCCGGCCCTGGCCCAACCCCACATTCCCCTGATAGGTGGAGAGTTGGCCATATAGGCGGAGCTCCTCGTTCCTGATGTCAGAGAATTTTCAAATCTGTATCAGTCTGTATCAGATCCGTTGCAGCCCCGTTTTTAGGGATTTGGGTATGGCGGAAAAGAGAGAGGGTTGTGTTTTCGGACACATATTCATGTATAAAAGACGTACAAAAATGCATTTTGCATGATAGGTCCACTTTAAAAAAAAATCGCAGGCTTTGCGATTTGATAATCTCATCATTTCAAATATCGATTTTAAATTGATTAATTGTTCAGCCGTAGTGTGTGTATGTGTGTGTGTGTGTGTGTGTGTGTGTGTGTGTGTGTGTGTGTGTGTGTGTGTGTGTGTGTGTGTGTTAGATTGTCTATACAAATCTGAGGAAGGCTCCTTGTTGTCAGAGGAACATTAGGTAAGCCATGAAAAAGACAAATAAACATGTGTCTGATAAATGATTCCAAGAACACGGTGTGTTTTGATGCACAATTACACTGAATTATTTCCTCTTGGTTCCCTATTTGGAGCCGATTCATATCCCAGCAAGCCTCGGCGGCTAGATTTCAGTCACAGCTCCTAAGGGACATACATTATTAAATAAACTGTATGTGGCCCGCTTTGACCGTCCACCTAATGCTGCCTGCAGACAATGCTCCATGAGCATCTCTCAGCAAGGTGAACAGGAAGAGGAAGTCATCATGTCGCCCTCTGGTGGCTCCATTCAAGCCCAATGAAACCAGGCCTGTCTTCTCTTTGGGGAGATGTGTGTATATTTTAGCAATGTCTTTAAAAAAGAAATCTTTTATCGTTTGTCTTAAGAGCATTTTACTATGTGTATATCCGATAAAAAAAAACGGTCCAATAGAAATTGGTATCTACTACTACATGATCTACTCTCATAATGAGAATATATATAAATGAATAAAGGCAATAGTTAACTCTGGAAATAATATTTAGTTTTCTGTTTATATTAGTCATGTCTTCAGAGTAAATCTATTTAATGTATTTTCAATATCAATCTCCCTTGATTTGAAGTCTACTCTTCCATACAGTATGAAGCAGTTTCCTGACCATGGAGGAAAAGGAGATTTTATTGGAAGAAGGAGGAGGTATTTAAAAACGTGACAGACTGAATCCCTGGCTTTTATCCCACAATCTAAATGAAAGCAATGCATTGCATTCATCAATGTGTAAATCAGTCACTGAATATAAAGCGGGCTAAAAACATGAGATGCTCGTATTGAACCACTGACATCTGATAGTAAGGGCCATCCTGTAACGGAGAGGAAATAGGTTTAGGTCCAAAAAACAGATAAACCCTTTAAAATGTCCTCCTACTAAACACCTTAACGTTACTTGACCCACTATTACATCACATGTCACTTGTTAGACGCTTTTATCCAAAGCAACTTACATACTCAATACTGTGGACAATCTCCACAGGAGCAATTTGGCGTGAAGTGTCTCGCCCAGGGACACGACGACATGTTGACTGCAGTGGGGTTTGAACCTGTGCTCCTCTGATCCGAACACCAACGCTCTATCCACTGCACCACACGCCCCACTATTAGGTGTTATGGTCAAAAAGAGAAGTCAAATACTATGTTTACATTTTTCACTGATAAAAGACAGTCAACCCTTGTAAAAAGAGGCTTTTCACATTATGCCACGGCTCCATAACACCTGTAAAGTTTGGTCCTACAGAACTTTAGCTGTCTTTTTCAGATTTCTCCTATGCATTTCAGAAAAGG